GACTACAGGGACCAGTTCCCCTGGAGAAAATGCCTCCTTTGGAAAGCAAGACTCCATAGCCTTATAGACGGCCTTCCCCGGGCTCTAGTCCCAAATCACCAAGAATGCCCCAGCCTGGAGTTAGCAACCCTGGTTTGTATCCATCACAAATTGCCCAAGCGACATCAGGCTGATATCCAGATGTCTCCAATTCTCCCTCTAAGCGGTGGAGTCTTGTGAGCAAAAATCCTAGTTTATGGGCTACTAGCATTAAAGTTGTGAGCAATGCTCCCTCTAAGCTGTGGAGTCTTGTGAGCAAAAATTCTATTTTGTGAGCTACTGGCATTAAAGTTGTGAGCCAGCGATTTGGCTACTGCATAAATTAGTTTGCTCTGAGGTCATCCTTCCTGAGCTAAGAGAAAAATGTGTGAGCTGGAGGCTAAAAAACGGTGAGCTAGCTCATACTAACTCAGCTTAGAGGGAACACTGGTTGTGAGCGAGTGATTTGGCTGCTGCATAAGTTACCTTTGCTCTGGAGCCCTCCTTCCTGAGCCAAGACAAAAATGTGTGAGCCGGAGGCTAAAAAACTGTGAGCTAGCTCACCCGAACTCAGCTTAGAGGGAACACTGGATGTCACATGTGCAGGATGATCCAAACAGAGTAACAGGGGAGCTGAAAATTCTGGAGTGGGGCACTCTTTCCATCCGGTCGAAACTCAGTCTCATCATCCAGTTCCTGTAAGTAAGTCGAAAGTAGCAGAACCGCTTCAGGGGTGCAAGTAAGTAGTACAACAGCTTCAGACAGACCGAGGTGCCTGATCCCAAGAGCCTCACTTGGAATGAGCCTCATTGACGCTTGTGGAATTTCCTTCCTAGAAAGTGCACAGAACCACACTAAAATCAGCCGTCTGCAGAAGCATCTCTGTGAAGACTCCCTGCCCCAAGCAGCAGCGAGAGATTAGCAGCCAGAATGAGTAGTTTGGGCTGTCTGATGGAAACTCAGTGGTGCGGAGAGTTGGCAGGGAAGTACTGTAGCACGGAGAGGCAGGAGAGAGGGATGTGGCAGAAGCGGTTTAGGAAAGGCGTCCTTGCCTCCTGAAATTCCGCTAAAACGAGTGTTTCCTAAGTTGTTGTTGTTCTTCAGTTGCACAGTCGAGTCCGACTCTTCGCGACCCCATGGACCAGCTCCCGCCAGGCCCTCTTATCTTCCGCCGTCCTCTGAAGTTGGCTCAACTTCATGTTCGTTGCCTCTATGACACTGTCTAAACATCTCATCCTTTGCCGTCCCCGTCTTCTTTGACCTTCAATCTTTCCCAGCATCAGGTCTTCTTCTCCAGTGAGTGCTCCCTTCTCATTGGGTGGCCAAAGTATTTGAGCTTCAGTTTCATTATCTGGCCTTCCAGGGAACAGTCAGGGTTGATTTCTTTTAGGATCAACTGATTTGATCTCCTTGCAGTCCAGGGGACTCTCAAGAGTCTTCTCCAGCACCATAGTTCCCTATCCTTGAAATTCTTCAGCACTAGCATCGACTTAGTACCCTAGGGAGTATTCCTAAGCCAGTCAATACAGGAGTAAAGAAAGCGATTGCAGCCTTACCCCAAGCCAAAGAACCCCGTCTGCCTATCAGGGTTTTTTTTTTTTTTTGCTTGCCTTTTAATCGATAAATGAAAGACATGGAGGTTGGTCTATTACTAAAACCTAAAAATAGGTTCATTTCCCCCCATATGTTCATGTGTGCGTGTGTGCACGCCTGGAAGTCATGGCGACCTCTGGTGATTGACCTCTCCTGGGGGCCTGGAGGATATTCAGAGAGGGGGCTGAATAAAGCCTGCCCCCGCCTCCCCACTGCTGGTATTCCAAGGAGGTCTCCCATCCCAAGTACTTGCCAGAGTCGGCCCTGCTTAGCTTCTGAGATCTGATGAGATCGGGCTGACCTGGGCTATCCACGTCAGGGTGCATAGGCGCAATTTTTCAAAATATTGAAAGGAAAAGGAAACAATTCAAAATGTTATCAAAAGCCCAATATGTTTAGCATTGCCAGTCCTTGCTTGTTTGATTCAGCCAAAGGCAATTTCAGTGGAACAGGAACGCAGAGTAATAGCTCTGCAAGTAATGAGCTGCTTTCCCTTTTAAGCCCATGCCCAGTAACTAGTCCTCAATAAGTAGCTACTAGTCACTCGTAGCTGGCTCCCGGCTGTGCCATAAGGAAGGAATTGTTTTATTCAATGTAACAATATTGACGTTTTGAACTTCTGTTGTACGCCGCCCAGTATATTATCGTATAAATAAATATAATAAATACAAGTATACAGGGCTATTTTTGGGCAGGAACGCACAGGAACGGAGTTCCGGCTGGCTCCCGAGTTGGCCACGCCCAGCAGGAACTCATTAGCATAACAGGCCACACCCATCAGCAGAAACTCATTAGGATTGGCTACATTAGGGGTGTGTGGCCTAACATGCAAAGGAGTCCCTGCTACAAAAAAAGGCCCTGGGTTTTGACAACAAACAAGGTAGACAGAATAAGAAGCAAAAGGTGGGTGTGGCTGGATGACTACACGTCTGGTAACATGGGGGTGCGGCCTAATGTGCTAATGAGCTGTGCTATCAGGGGTGTGTCCTAATATGCTAATGAGTTCCTGCTGTTGGTTGTGGCCTATTATGCTAATGAGTTCCTGCTGGGCTTTTTTTACAAAATGAGCCCTGCAAGTATAAATACATAAATAAAACGAGAGCTGGTAGAGATAAAAAAGGTTTCTTGACTCCTCGACCAAAACGGCTCTCATGCTGGGAATGTTTCTCCAAGAGGAGGGGTCTCGTGGTTGTCTGCTTGTGTTGTTTCCAGAGACTTCAGGAGTTGGTTCACATTCTATTTTGAAGGTTGTGTTTTCTTGCCGTTTAAAGTACTTTGAAGAAGAACTTGAAGAAGGACAGTTCTTGCAAACGTTACGGGCACTGCGCGAGGGGGCCGTTCCTCTGCGGCCCCACCTGACCCCACTGGAATAATGCAAGAAAGCAGGAATCCTTTTCAAGAACCGTGCAAATACCATTCCCAACCCTGCCATACAGCCAGCTTTGGGTGATACAGTTAGGGTTGCCAACCTCTAGCTGGGACCTGGAGATCTCCCGGAGAACGTGACTGATTTGGAGGCCAAACTCTATGATCTTCTACTCCACTGAAGCCCCTCCCCTGCCCCAACTCTACTATCCTTGGCCTCCACTCCCAAGATCTCCAGAAATTTCTGAGCCCAGAGTTGGCAACATGACGGACGGTGGCTCTTTCTTCCCAATCCTATTCCCCCTGTATACTTCCTATGTTCCTCCATTATTTCGGTAACACACGCATACGTTTAAAACCAACATGCAATTTAAAACCAGCAAATACAAAATATAAAATACAATTCCATACATTCCAAGAAACACAATGAAGCTAAATAAATAAATCCAGCGGCATCCTGTATTAAAGTGCCAGCGCGACCCAACTGGTGCAGTCAGTTCTTACTGGAACGCTTGGCGAAACAGCTCTGTTTTTCACGGCTCTACGGAACCGCTGGAGGTCTGCTGCCCCAAACATGGCAAGATGGAAGCAAAGGGGGAAGGGAAAAAGGGCTTAAGTGGGGGTGAAAACTTACCGGAAAGCACCACCTCAGTGTAGGGTAAAGTTGCCAGCCTCCAGGCAGAGCCTGTAGATCTCTGGGAATCACAATTCATCTCCAGACAAGAGAGAGCCGTTCCCCTCGAGAAAATGGCTCCTTTGGAGGGTGGGTTCTATGGCATTATACCCCATCAAGGCCCTTCCCTGAACTCCACCCTCCCCAGGAAACTCCAGAGATTTCCCAGCTTAGAGGTGGCAACCCCAGTGAAGGGCCTTTTCCAAAGATGGCTGCAAACAGTGTTCCCTCTGAGCTGAGTTTGTGTGAGCCAGCTCACAGTTGTTTTAGCTTCCGGCTCACACATTTCTGTCTCACCTCTGGAAGGCTGGCTCCAGAGCAAGTGAATGTATGCAGGAGCCAAATCGCTTGCTCACAGCTTTAATGCCAGTCGCTCACAAAGCAGGATTTTTGCTCAGACTCCACAGCTTAGAGGGAGCATCGGCGGCAAGTCCTCTTTGTTGCCAAACGAATCTTTCTTTCTCTTCTGCAAAGCATTCTAGATTTATGTTGCTAAGCCGAGATCAGTTCTCAGCCAATCGGTTATAGTGGCTGGTTGGTTTGGAGATCTGAAACGGAGGTTCACATCCGTGTTCCCTCTAAGCTGAGTTAGTGTGAGCTAACTCACAGTTTTTTAGTCTCCTGCTCACACATTTTTGTCTTAGCTCAGGAAGGACGCCTCCAGAGCAAACTAAGTTATGCAGTAGCCAAATGGCTCGCTCGCAACTTTAACGCCAGCAGCTCACAAAGTAGAATTTCTGCTCACAAGACTCCACAGCTTAGAGGGAGCATTGGTTCACATCCCTTCTTGGCTAGAAAGCTAAGCTTGGTTAAGTCTGCCCAGCCTACCTTGCAGGGTTGTTGTGAGACTGGGTGTGCAATCCTAAACAAAGCTGCACCTTTTAAATACCGCTGACCTCAGAAGATGAAGAAGGGTGTAAACTGCACTTAGGATCGCACTGTCTAACACTCAGGGCTCTAGTCGGGGGGGAGCTCTCAGGTACGGAGCTCCGGAAGAGAACCTCTAGGGGGCGGGGCGGTCACGTGGTGAAGCCCCGCCCCCTTCTTTACCCCGCCCTCTGCTTCGATCCTCATTCCGTTTGGGAATGAGGATGAAGCAGGAGGGTAAGTAGCCGGGCCTTCTGACACACTTCCGGTGATGTCAGGGGGTGTGGCCTTCTGTCACTTCCGGTGATGTCAGGGGGCGTGGCATATGCAAATAAGCTATGCTAATGAGTTATGCTAATGAGCTCCGGCAGCTCTTTTTCTACAACAAGACCCCTGCTAACACTGATGTGAGTTCTTTGCGGGTCAGACAGGGCACAGTGTAATACATTATTTTTTGAATGTGTTCTACCCTTTTTCCTTTCAGAAAGTGCCTAAGAAATTAACCGTACAAGATCCGTTGGCCGTCAAGTTGTACATCTTGCCAGCATTATTGAGTGCGGGACTCAACTCAGACCAGTAGTTGTCCTTCCTGACTGGTGGATGGCCTGAAGGTAAAGATTTTCACTTGTGACATAAAGAGCCGTCGGGGCCATGTTGTTCCATGTGTGCGAGCATTCCCCTGCCCCCATTTCAAGAGGGAGGAGCTCTTTGCAGCCGCTATTCTTGCATGTTCTGGTGATGGGAATTGGATAATTGTCAACAATGCCTTGCCGTGAAAAGCTGGAGGAGCAGTAAAGGAGACCCATAATGCGTCCTAGGAAGACATTTTCCCCAAGCTGTTTCTGAACCTACTCTACAGCCTCCAAGACCTTTCAATAATATCATTTATTTGTGTTTTCTGTTGGATGAGATGATTTGAAGTGGGAGTGAACTGCTGGAGATCGTGAACTGCTAAACTGTGATTGGTAGTGTGGTACAGCAGTTAAGGCCGTCAGACTAGGATCTGGGGAAGCCCAGGTTCGAATCCCCACTTGTGCAATGGAAGCTCGTTGGGTGACCTTGAGCCAGTCACATGCTGTCAGTGCGACCTTCCTCGCAGGGTTGTTGTGAAGCTAATATGGAGGAGAAAACTGATGTGAGCCACCTCGAGTACTTATTGGGAAGAAAGGTGGGGTATAAATGAATTAAATATGGTGACTGCCTGACCTGAACTGGACGCATTCATGGAGACTAGGTCTAGTCATTGGTGTTACTCTGGGTTAATTATTTGGGTCTCCCAGAGATGGGATGTCCACATAGCCTCTGGCCATCTCAGGTACCCTGTGCATAGTGAGAATAACTGCAGTAGGTAGGTCTTTGGCATGCTGGGAGCTGGGCAAATACCCAATGGCTGCCAGTTTCAGCCGACTTATGGCCATCCCAGCAAGGGGCTTTCAAGGCAAGGGAGAAGCAGGGGTGGTTGGCCGTTGCCTTCCTCTGCAGAGTCTTCTTTGGGGGTCCCCGTTCCAAGTACCGACCCTGCTTAGCTTCTGAGAGTTGTCGAGATGGGGCTCTATGCCATGCCGCCTTCCCTCCCGATAAGGCTCTTGCCAGGTCATTCGTAATAAAATCAGACTCTGGGTAAGGTTTGTTGTAAAGTTAGCCTTCTTCGGCTGTCAACCATTCAGTGTGCCGCACACCCACACTTGAGTATGAACAGACGTTCTCGGCAGTGTAGGATTGTACTTTTAACGATACTTTTATTCATAAAGCTGTAGACGGTATTTAGAGGATGATCCAGCCAATTTGTTTGTTTGGTGTCGTGGTGAAGTGCGCGGACTCTAATCTGGGAGAGCCGGGTTTGATTCCCCACTCCTCCACTTGCACCTGGCTGGGTGACCTTGGGCAAGCCGTAGTCCTGATAAGAGCTGTCCTTGAAAAAGAGCAGGTTCTGTCAAGAGCTCTCTCAGCCCCACCCACCTCACAGGGTGTCTGTTGTGGGGAGGGGAAGGGAGAGGAGTTTGTAAGCCGCTCTGAGACTCCCTTGAGTAGTGAAGGGCGGGGTATAAATCCAGTCTCCTCCTCCTCCTCCTCCTCCTCCTCCTCCTCCTCCTCTTCTTCTTCTTCTTCTTCTTCTTCTTCTTCTTCTTCTTCTTCTTCTTCTCCTCCTCCTCCTCCTCCTCCTCCTCCTCTTCTTCTTCTTCTTCTTCTTCTTCATCATCATCATCAAGTCTCTCTCTCTTTTTTGAGCTTTTGGGCCAGTAGTACATCACCCTCAGTCCTTACTTGTAAGACAGTTTGCCAACCTCCAGGTAGCGGCTGGGGATCTTCTGGGAGTACAAATTAATTTCAGGCAAAAGAGATCAGTCCACCTGGAGAAAATGGCCACTTCTGAAGGTGGACTGTGTGGTATTATATCCCACTGAATTCCCTCCCCTCCCCAAACCCCGCCCTCCCCAGCCTCCACCCCCAAAATCTTCAGGTATTTCCCAACACCAAGCTGCTAACCCTATTTGTAAGTTTTCCGTAGACGCTGCAGAAAATCATCTGCAAGATGAAGTTGCATCTCGGTCTGATGCCGTAAGTTTTATGTTTTTGTTGGTCAAGACCAATGAAAAGACAGTGATTGAATTTTTGGGTTTCCCCCCAGAGATTTTAAAAAAAATCAATTTAAAACACTCCGAGGGCCCCAGCTGACCTGAAAAGTAGCATGGTAAAGGGAAAGGTAGAGGTTCCCTTGCTCGAAAGCCAGTCGAATCCGACTCTAGGGTTGCGGTGCTCATCTCCGTTTCAAAGCCAAAGAGCCAGTGCTGTCCGAAGACGTTTCTATGGTCATGTGGCTGGCATGACTAAACACCAAGGCGCACGGAACGCTGTTACCTTCCCACCAAAGTGGTACCTATTCATCTACTTGCAATTTCTTGCTTTCGAACTGCTAGGTTGGCAGGAGCTGGAACTAGAGACGGGAGCTCACTCCGTCATGCGGCACACTTGGGTCTCGAACTGCTGAACGACTGACCTTCCACAGCCTGCAGTTCAGCGTCTTAACCACTTGAGCCACCGCAGCTCCCTAAAAAGTAGCATACAAATGTTTTAAATAAATAAATTATACCGCACCTGTCTCCCCAATCCCGACCCAAAGCGACTTACAGAGTTCTCCTCTCTCCCATTTATGTGTCGTCCATCATATTCCTCACGAAGATTAACGATAGATTTTTAAAAGTGGATTGGAAACAAGAAAGAGTGAAAACTGTTGGTCGAAGGAAGCTCATTGGCCAAAGTGCTAAATGGCGTCATTCTGAGAAGATGGCCTTCTATGGAATCTGGTCAGGAGACACAGAAGGCGAAGCAGTGCTGCCCCCTGTAGGTGGGATGGAGTCAGCTCCCTGCTTGGCTGGAGAGAATGAATAATAGCCCACAGATGGTTACTAGGCAACCCTTCTATAGTGCTCCTCCTTCTGTGTTGCTTCAGATGGTTGCTAGGCAACTGCCCACTTACCTTCTCCGGTTTCTCCTCTCCTGAAATGGTTGGGAGGCCAACTACTTGTAAGGGGAGAATGCACACAAAAGCGAAGGTGGGGATCGGGTTAGCCAAAATGTGAATATCCCGTCGTGGGCTGGAGTTTCTTGTCTAGAACCTCAGGGAACTGAGCCCTGGTAGTACTACTAGAGGGATTAAAGGAGTCGTTTAATCTTTCTGTACAGCTCAAGGCAGCCGTTTGAAGTCTTACCCAGCAAACAGGAGTTAAATTTGGATTTTGAGAAAAAAGGATCAGACACGTGTGATTTCCATGTCGTTGACCCGATGTTTGCTTTGTGTCGAATGAGGATTTGGTCCTTTGATGAATTAATAGCAGTTACTAATATGACGATTGATGAGCTGGTGTTTAAATACGGTCCTCAACAATTCTTTGTAGCCATGTCATGATCCGAGTCCTGAACCCCAAGAGTAGTTTACATGGATTGCTCAACGTGTGTTGCTTCTGATGATGATAGACCTTCAAGAAATATGATAAATGACCTTCAAGGAAAATGGGTTACCTGGGAATTAAGAATCAGGTGATGTGACTAGTCCCCCATTTATTGTGTTCCAAGCTCTATTCCAGCTGTGTGGAAACAATTCCTTACAGCTGCTAAAAGTGTTTCAGAAGGGGATTAGATAGATTCATGGAGGACAAGTCTATCAGTGGCCTACTAGCCATGGTGACTGAGGGCAACCTCCACATTCAGGGGCACTAAGCCTCTGAATCCCAGAGCCAGGAAGCGGCATCAGGAGAAGGGGTTGGCCTCTATGCCCTGTTGTCGGCCATCCAGAGAAACCGGCTGGCCACTGTGTGAGGGACTAGATGGACCATTGGTTTTATTCAGCAGGCCTCTTCTGATGTTCTTATGAAGGCCTTGGCCCAGAGGTCATTTCAGGGGGGAACGCGGGGGAACGCAGTTCCCCCCGGGTGAGGTGCAGGGGGGCAGGGCACATGACTAAGCCTCGCCCCCCGCTTCCAGCTGCCCCGTTTCCAGCCCTCATTCACACAGGAGGAGGCAGGAGAAGAGGGAGGGTAAGTTGCTTCCTCCCCGCCTCTCCCCATCTCTGCCTGCCTGGGGCCAGGGAGGGCCTTGGCGGGGCTTCCTTGCACTCCCGCTAGCCTTGCAGGTCCACCGCTGGGCCCCTTATGTCAGGGGGTGTGTCATATGCTAATGAGTTATGCTAATGAGTTCCCCTAGCTCTTTTTCTACAAAATGACCCCTGCCTTGGCCCATATGCCCTGCTATTGCCCATTCAGAGGTACTGGTTGGTCACTGTGTGAGAGAGGACGCTGGACTAGATGCCCTTCTTCGCCACGCGATCGTCCTCGAACCGTTTTTTTTTTTTAAAAACGTTCTGAGTGTTCTCGTGCTCTGTTTGAAGCAATGTATAACAAACAAGATATATAACATTCTGCTTCCTTAAACTTTTTTGGTACATAAACATTGAGTATAAAACAATGCTTAAACAGGTTGTAAGCAATGGAAATAAACAAGGTTTGAGTTAACAACTGTCTGCTTTCTTGTAAATCTTTTTTTTAAAAATACTCATATTAACCATTGAAATAGAACAATACACTATCATGTTCCCATATTTTTTCCCTTCATTTTCATTTCTCTACACAAAAATGCTCAATTACAAAATATATGTTGTGTCTAGTTAGGGATCCGGTGCTTGATTATCATCCAATTATAATGAAATAATCATACAATAAAGAGTGATTAAGGTAGCTAATGAAAATAATTTTTGATAACCAGTGGAATCCAAATAATCCTTTAATTTTAAATCCATTTGGTATAGTCCTCCCATATATCTCTT